TCTCTCTCACTCTCAATCTCTCTCTCTCTAATATCTCCTCGTAACGAGTTGAGAGGTGCTCGGAGGCGACCTTGTATTTATAGTTGGAAAAAAGAAAAAAACTGAAACAGGTTGCATCCACCATGCCGCGTATGTCAACGTCTCATGATGTCTTCTCTCGTCTTACCATCATGTGATGCATACACATACACATAAATAATAGAGATACATTTCGTTTTCTTTTTTCTTCAAAGGAAATATTTGTTTTTTTTTTCATTTTTTGTAAAAAAAAAAAAAATTAAAAGATTGAATTTTGAATTCGAATAAAAAATTTTTGGACAATATCAAATTAGAAATTCTCAATTTAATTTTATCTCAATCTAAATAAACCAAAAATAAATTTTTTAGATACACTAATAGTTCTATGCTCCTAAAAAGAAAAACGAAATCAATCTTCCTTGTGATATGTATCAAGATGACAGATATATATAAATTAGACAGTCAATCCAGAGAACTCAAGTAGAAATTTCATAGAGCAATGGGAGACCTTCAACTATTTACAACTTCAGAGAGAAGAGATCTAATTTAATAAACCTTGGGTGATAATTCATTATAACGCTCATCAGTCTGCTCAGGATCAGTTAACAATGACCAAAGTGAGGCAGCAACAACCGTTCCAACAGCCATTGTCCACAAGAATACCACTGAAAAGTCCACTATTGGACGATTTGGTGCATATAATAGAAGTTCCACTGTATCAGAAAATCATAATAATTAGCAATATGTTTCATCATAAAAATGACACTTACCAACCAAAAAATCAAAATAATTTAATCTTACTCAAAAATCATTATGTGATCATCAAAATCATACTAAAAAATTCCATGTGTATGCTACTCATCAAAAAGATGTGTCATGTCTTCATATTTTTTATGATATACCCCACTTGTGGCAAGTCTACTAATTTTTAATATCTTAAACTAACAAAAAGTAAAGAGTTTTTCAAATTGCTTAACTTGGTGCTTATAAGCAATTTTAAGCACTCTACTCCAATTTTTACATTTTATAACAGAAAAACCAAAGAAATTAAGGGTTCTTAAAAGTGACTTTAAAATAGTGAAAAATGAGCATCCTAAACTTAACTGTTTTAGGTCCTTATGTTTTTAATCTAACCAATCACTTAATTACTATCTTTGTATCCTCTTAATATTAATAATATATACAAGAATAAAGTAATTAATAGAACATTTGTGATAAAGATATTTATCTACAAAGATAATTTCTTATTTTTGCAGTCAGAACTTTTTTTCCAAAACATGTAACTGCTTATTTTTTGAATAAGAATTTATTGGTTCCAAATAACCTAAAGCAGTTTACTGTCAAGCACATTTCTTTCAGCAAACAAAAGCCTCCTAACTCAATTCAAAAGTGTATGAACAGTTCAGGCATGAATTGTATATTTTCAGCTGTCAGAAATTAAAATAAAGAAGTGATGAAACCTTAAGAACCAAAAAATTATTCAAGCCATCAGAAAATAAACAACGCCTATGATTAGATATCAAGCTTTTATGCATGCGTATGGTTTATCAAGAAGAAGAAAAAAAATTAAGAAGAGATCCACCACTTAATCTGTTTAGGGTTCTTAAGCTATTGTCTTGAATCCTTCCTTCTCCACACTGTGTTTTTAAGGATCTTAAGAGTATGGGCAAATAATGCAACTTAACAACACTATGCAAGAGCTCACCTTTCTTTTGTCCTGCCATAGACTTGTTAAGAGCATCTCCTCCTGACTTTGGAATCATCACAACAGGTATTGAAATATCCAGAGAAGTATCATTTCCAGGACACATCATCTCATACAGTTCTGAAAGAGAGAGACAAGTAAAATATTGGTCAAATATTATATGTAAACAAAACAGATTATCTTGAAATGCCACAATCTGACATGAAATGCAGTAGAACTTGAAAAAAAATTTGAAGTGCACGCTTGAAATCACGAACCTTCCTTGTCATTTATCACAACAAGGGCAGCAGCTCCTCCAGATTGTGCAATTTTTGCCTTAGTCGTGAAGTCACAATCGCCACGTTCTGTCAAGGCAATAGAGCCAGATATCTGGAAAACAGCAAACATGCAGCAGCATGATGCAAGCATGTGAGTTATCTCAAAAAAAAAAAAAAAAAATGATGCAAGCTTGTGAGATCCATCTATATTTATTTTAATAGAGATCCATCTATTTTTGGTGCCTAGAACATCAATTCAAAGTATCAAGTTCTTCCCCGATCCTTTTGAAAGTTACCTAGGTTTTGATACAATCCTCGGACTTCTTTTTTTCATAACATAAAGTAGAAAACTTACAAACCATTGATTCCAAATTCACAGGAATTTTTTCCTTTTCTTTTTTGCTAATAATTCTTTAGAATTAATTATTAATATTTAAAAGCTCTTTTCCAGCAGAATAATAAGCTAGGTAGGGAGGGAAAAAAAACAAAGAAGCATTTACATCCATGTGCAAATTGATGACACAAGTTCAATCAACGAAAGCTAATGCAAAACCTTTATAGAGGAAGTGGAACAGCAGTTTAAAGGATTCGTGAAAACAGCAGGCAATCTAACACCTTGTTCAGCACGAGTAGGCAATGATGCCCCGAACCTAGCAGTTAACCCGGAAAAGCTTTCACCTTCGACTCCATCAACCCAATTCTTGACTTTGACCTAGAGAATGAATTTATAAGTGAATTAACATAATGAGTAAACAAAAAAAAAAAAATCAAATAGCCATACATCTGTGTCAGTCAGCATGAGTATGAGAAAGGAACCAGAATGGACACGAACAAGGCACAAGAGGGCACTGCCACAAATCTAACCTAACTCATATATACATATACATGAAGTATACATATGTTGTGAACAAGAAGATCCTAAAGTGGATATATTTCAACAATAATAGATATCTATATAATTTTAATATTATATATTTTAAAGGTACTTAACTTATTAAGGAATCACTAACTATAGACATATTACTAGTACGAGTTTATGACTTTCTGCTTAGTTATAATGCTATATTGTTATTCTCTATTCTAGGCTAGTCAATTTTGGTTTACTTTTTTATTTATTAGATTTTCTACATTGACTTAATGTTTTGGTTGTATTTTGGTGCACGTAAATAAGTTATCCTAGTTTAATTATTTGGTACACTATTCACAGTATCAATTTGACTTCTAAAATTTGATATTCTCAAACAATTTCCCTGAAACATATTCTTGATCCTTTAAGTCCATACTTTATACGTCTAAAAAAAAGTCCATGCCTTCTATTAATTCATTTTAGTTAGCATTCCTTAGCAACTTCGCTTCATAACTTCAGCATGCTTGTTGTTTCTATTTCTTCTTTGGGACAATGGTAATTCCCATTGCCCCCTTCCATTCTCTTATTTCTTTTGCATTGCAAGGATACAGATTCCAGTATTGGATAAAATAAATTCAACATAATTAATAAAGAAGTTGGGTAATTATCGTCAATCTAACCCTAACCACAAGACTGAGTAATAGATAAATACAAAAAGTGACTGCATGGAACTTGTATTAATTGCCAGAACCACTAAATTTAATCCCAATAACTAACTGAAAGATTCCAACAAATTTCTACTATCCTCATAATTAAAAGAGATTCCAATAAATTTCTATTATCCTCATAATTAAAAGAGATTCCAACGAGACTTCTAATTTTTATACCCCAAGTATGAAACAGTCAGAGCCTGGAACTTGTATTAATTGCCAGAACCACTAAATTTAATCCCAATAACTAACTGAAAGATTCCAACAAATTTCTACTATCCTCATAATTAAAAGAGATTCCAATAAATTTCTATTATCCTCATAATTAAAAGAGATTCCAATGAGACTTACAATTTTTATACCCCAAGTATGAAACAGTCAGAAAATCAAACAACCACGGAATAGGCTAGGACATTGAATCTTAGGTTTGGGCTACAATAACTTCCACATTATAAAATTCAGTAGTTTAAAGCAAATGAAAACGGATTGGAATAACTTTCATCCTGTCATTTCAGATCCAATTTCCACAATCAAGAACTAATAAAGCTACACCAATTGCGCACGTCTAGAAAAACCTTCTCCCGACTTAATGAAATGAAAAAGAAATAAATTAAAACCCTACATTCAAATCAAATAAATTACACAACCACAATTATCATAAAAAATAGGAAGAACGAATGAACGAGAGCAAAATCATCCAATTTCGATATTTCAATTACCAAATGTAACTTGTTGTTACAGGAAGGAGTCTTCGGGCTAGAAGTACTGTCCCGTGCGGCATCATCGGCGGCCGCAAATGCAAACGAAATGAGAAAGTAGAGAATGAGAAGGCGCGAATCCCTGAACCGGTTCGACGGAAACATCATGGCCACCGACGAGAAGGGGAGAGAAGAAGAGAAAGGCGGAATGAGGGAGGTGGGATACCTTTCTCTCCTAGAAAGAGAAAGTGGGAAAAGTGAAATTAAATCTTATGTTTAAGACACGTGCGAGTTTTTTCCTTCTAACTTCCTTTTTTTTTTTTGCCAGCGAAATAAATAATCCACGCAAAACTCGTCCTCTAAATTCTCAAATCACCGTCTAAATTAAACTCTTCTAATTCTTTTTTAATATTAAATTAATTTCCACGTAATCTCAATTATGGATAATACTTAAAATTCAACCAATTTCTTAAGCGTTAATCTTATGTGTTTTATTTTATTATGTAATTTTAGATGTCTGTATTCATAATATAATATGAAAAAATATACTTTTAAAAAAATATAATGGACTAAAATAATATGTTATCATATAAAATGATTATTATGATTTAATATTTTTTACATATTAAATTATTTTTTTAATATAATTAATGAAAAAAATATATCTACGTGTTAAAATATTAAGATGTACTTAAGTTATGTATTAAATATTATAAAAGATATTATTATAAATTACGTGAAAAATAAATTTTTTAAAAAAATTATAAAAATATTATTAAATATAAATAAATAAAATAAATAGATAAAATCGCGAAAGACACTAACAATTCATGGGTTCTAAAATAATTTTTTCTATAACTTAATTTTCTTCCACCGATATTAATAAAAAATTATCAATTACTGAGTTAGTATGCATATATATTTATGTTTTAAAAATTTTATATGTCATTTTTATACATGATACATGCTGAAGTTACATAACCAAAACAATAGATATTCACTCAATGTTTATTTGAATGTGATTTTATTATGACATCATTATATCTTGCATATGAAGTTATTGAATTTCATTTTCATAGATACGATATCACATAAATCTGTATAAAGTATTTATTATAACTCACTATTTGTAAATATTTAACAACAACGATAAAAAAATACTAAATTTATTATTTATGTGTTAAATATCTTTTTATATACAACAGAAATTTTTTCGACATACGGATCAAACTCAAATTACACAAAAACAAGTAAAAAAATATAAATCTAATAAATATTGATGAATTTTTTTACAACTCCGCTGTCGATGAAACAATAAGTAACCAAATAATAAAATACAAAATAATATATTCATAAAAAAAATTATAATTTGATATAAACCTAAAAAATTATATATAACATAATTTTTTAGTTCGTTAATCGGTTTAAATTTTGTAAGATTGAAATTTTTAATTTTATAAAAATTAAGACGACTAAAATTAATTTTTTAAACAAACAATAAAAATAAAATTTAAGAATTATAATATTGTGAATATCAATAGATTTAATGATACAAATACAGAAAATTAACTAAGCATTAAAAAAATTAGTGAAATCTCAATATATATTTTTTTAATTATTCTTGAGGATATTAGAGATATTAGAAATTATTTTATTTTAATTCAAATTCTCCCGGTTAATTAAAAATTTTTGCTTCATTAACTACACTGGGCTTGGGCCTAGGCCCAAAAAGAGCTGGTTCATGACTATTTAAGGGCAGCGTTCTTCGTGGGGTGGGGGTCTTCCATGCTCTCAGTAACCGATCTCACTCTCCGCAGTTTCTTTCATTCCCAGTGATCGGCCATGGCTCCCGGGATGAGAATAGTGTTCGGACTCTTGACATTTGTCACTATCGGAATGATTATAGGTGCGTTAATATGATCAGATCGTTCACGTATTGTTTAGAGAGTCGGATATTTCGTCCCGATGTTTTCCTTGCAGAACAAGAGTCAATTATTAAAATTCCTTATCCTTTTGAAGGATTTAATTTCCTTTAATTATGATTTACTTTTTAAGTTGCACAGTTTTTAATTCGGAAGAGGAAAAATTAGTTTTCTATTCAACATGTTTAGTCAAGAATTAACAGCTCAATATAGTGGTGAACCTTTGACGAAGAAAAGAATACATGAGCAATAGCGTGGATAGAGATTTGACGTATTTAAGGAACATGAACATGGCCGTTTTATATTCTAAGTCAAATAAATGAAGTTTTATATGTAATGATGAACTTGCCTTTTCTGGGAAATTTCAGGTGCATTGTTTCAATTAGCATTTTTATGGAAATTGGAAGACTCGTACGGTACTTTCCTTTTGGGATAATTTTCTAGTTCTGTATAAATTTATGCTGAATTAGCGATTCTTGTGTTGTATACATCTTTTGAGTTCGCCAAATCTTAAATACATGCCTATACATTTACATCTGCAATCTCCCTGATCTTTGTTTCTAGTTCTCTATGATTAGATTCCGAAATGAGAATGTGTAGTTAAGAAGAAGTCTTAATCTTTGAAGTTGTTTTCCAAGAATGATTCCTTCAATACGTTAAAAAAAGAATGATTCTTTTAGTGAACAAAAGTGGGCAGATTTGATTTAGTTGGTATGTTTGAATTTGAGTGTGTTCAAAGTTGCTTATTTAGTGAATACAAGTAACTTTAAACACTCCGTTTCAATGTACTGTTTGGTTAACTAAATAAGCAGAATGTTATTTCAAGAAAAAAAAAACTAATTAAGCTGAATGCTTCTGAGACAATTAGAGAAGTAACTTTTGGAAAAAAAAAAGCATTATATTCATGGGATGATAATAATCTCTGTCATCTTGATTGGGAAAGGGTTCTTGTCTCTCACTCTTGCAAATTTATGGACAAAGGGTCAGAATCCTCTTGGTATTCACTGGGGTTCTATCCAGTGTCATTGGTGTTCTAGTGTCCTTGTCTCTTCAAGCTAATTGGAAGAGTTCATAAATAACATGGATACCTTACGTCTAATGGCCTTGACTTTACTGGATGGCAATAGACTAGTGTTATGTTCCATGGTTAAAGATCGAGTCACCAGACGATTAACAACAAAGTCGTCTCCTACAAAGGGTTTAACACCCTTATTTTTATTACTAGAGCAACTTATTTTGTGAAAATAAATTATATCTCATTTAAGGGAGCTGCTATCTGTAGTTTGAAAAAATATTATGACTTGTTTTTACTAATAGCAAGTATACCTCTTTATATGAAGATTATAATTCTTATTTAGAATTTTTAATGTAATTAGGAATCTGAATTTAATTAGAAATACTTTACTAAAATATTAGAAATCCTATACTATTTAGGAATCCAATATTAATGGAAAATCATATGTTATTTAGTAATCTAATACTAATTAGAATTCAATGTTTATTATTTAGAAATCTAATATTACTTAGAATTTCATATTTAATTGAATTTCGACATCTTATTTAGGCTCTATAAATACGTCCATAACAGCTTGGTCTAACATGAGAGCCCATGCCGACCAACGACTTTGGCCTATCAGTATCTGAGTTCTCGATTATGTTAAATATTTAAGTTTCGACTTTTATCTAGTGCAGGATTAAAACATGTATTATATTGTACTCAAAACATGAGAGCTCATACCACTTTCTCAAAGATTAACCAGTTCTTGACTTCTACTTGCTTTAAGGAGAAAAGCCTTGGTGTTACTCAAATTCTTCTCTCTACAGCCCTCACTAATGGTCATTCCATATGTTTAAACATTGATGGTGTCAAATGGGCCCAATTCTATTTAGTTGAAAGTTATGTGGCTTAATGTTGGTTCTGAGAGTCGATAGCCTAGTGATGGAGTGAGGTGGACCAAGATGGCTTTTCTAGCTTTCATGTGGCCAAAAAATGTTTCACATGAAAGCTAAGCTAAAACATCATTGTAAAGAACAAGTTGATAGTGGCATCAACGCTTTTTTGAAGGAAATTGAGGCTTTGGATTGAAAGAAAGCTAATTATGCTTTTCCAAACTTTGAAGGAAAAGAAGGTGCTTAGCCAAATTAAAGTTGGCTAGTCTTTTGATGATGGCAAAAATCTCTTAAAAGGAAAGGTTAAGATCCCAGTGGACTAGTGGAGTTCATAATAGAAAGAATTTCCATAAACTTACAAACTTCAATAGAGGGAATGACCTTCTTTTCAATCTTGATATAAAGGTGTAGGTCCCATACCTTTGATAGCGATTTGAAAGAGACTATTAAGACGTATATAAAAGATCTTTATATGGAACCTAATTTTTCCTTTGAAATAAAAATGTATAATTATATTCATAACAGGTACCAAGAGGGCTCCAACCCATATACAACGTATTTATACATCTACCAAAACATCAATGAGGTCACCTAAGTCCTCCATAAAGTGAATAGAATGACCCAAAATTAAAAAAAAAAAAAAAAACTAGTTTATGGAACCATCTACTCTTAATCAAATCAAAATCATTATCAATCTTAACCCCTTCAAAAGCTCTTCTATCCATTTCTTTCCAGACAACTAAAAAATGGTAAGCGGAATGAGATCTTCTTGTTTCCTTCTACAACTGATCCTCTTCCAAGCCCACAACTCCTCTCTTACCGAGCCAGCGATAACCCAGTTGATTCCTAAAAGTCCGTACACCATAATCCAAAGTTATACACAACCAGAAACTAGAGAAGCACATAATTACAAGTCTTATCGGCTCTTCTATAGAGGTAGTACACATTCACCAATATCTTGCCCCCTTCCTTAATTTATCTATGGTCCAGAAACACTCTCTACCTGCCTCCCATGGAAAAAAGGATAATCAGAGTGGTGCTTTGACCTTCCAAATTTGTCTAAATGGAAACCTATTACCTGCATATTCTAGCTTGGTCAAATGCTTGTAATAAGATTTGATCAAAAAGGGATCCACTAGTATTGAGGCACACCACGAGTTATCGTTGCTACCATCCATGCACTATGGGTACGATGTTCGACAATTTTTCATATTCCTGGATCTCTTAATCATTGAGATTTCTCTTTCCTAACACTTGCCATATCTTTTCCATTCCCTCTACTCCTTGAAGGAGTCGCTGATCAGAA